CAATCATTTAATTAATCAAAAACAAATATCAAAGTATTAAATAAGTGGCCCTATTGACAAATATCATTTATATGATGGTTTGATAAGTTTTTTATGTTTTAAATGACCGAATTTCTTGTCAAAAAATGACTCCATATTATTTTATTATATATTTGAATAGTTGATATTATTAGAAATCATTTTTAAAGTATGCATTGTACATAATGCCTTGTTAAAGGTTGGGAGCAAAAATATAGGTAGTAACAGATAATTGTGAATTAAAATCCAATTAAATCTCACTCCCACTAACTAACATAAGACTATAAGAGCAAGGAACATACAAGCGTGGAGTATTTGATATTAATTTGAACATCAACTACGCCAAAAAAAAAATGATGCACCGTACGTAGTATTTAACGATTCCAACTAACGGGGTTTGATGGTCCATCCGGTATTAAAATGTTTGACAAACTAAGGTACAATAATTTTAGTTCAAAGTACAAGTTTGCATTAGCTTATGATTACTACCAACACATTTTTCATACCCAATCTGCCCTTACCTACATTCAGCTTTATAATATCGTAGAGAAACATTCTTACAAATTCGGTAGTAACTATTCTGTCTATTCAGTACTTTTTTGTTTGAGCAAATTATTCAGTATATATAATAATTGGAAATTTCTATTCAACCAGAAACCCGAAGGATGTGTAGACAAACATCAGTAGTTGGTATTCTCTGCTGTATCCTCCTCCTTGTAGGTCCTGCAGCCTGCCGGAGGCCCCATCTCATCAACTTCCGATCGGAGAATCTCTTCCCGGAATCCTTCACGTGGGATCCAAAGTCCCAGCACTTTATCCTCGGATCTCTTCGCTACCCAAAGCTTGTCTCCGTCTCCGACGCCGGCGTCTCTGAAACCCTAATCTCCGACGCCTCGCTCCCCCCAAATTCGTCGATCCGGGGCATTGCCCTAGACCGCATCCACTACCGCATCCTCGCCGTCGTTCATTGCCCTCCGTCCTCTGCCTCTACCGAACCCTTCAACGCCCTCGCCGCCTACGACCTCATCTCCCTCCGCCGCCTCTTCCTCACGCCTCTAATCGACGAGGACGGCAATAACCCCATCGCCTCCGTCACCGATGATCCGCAATCCTCCGAACCCTCATCCGTTGCGAGCGACGTGACAACCGATTTTTCCGGCAACGCGTACGTCACCGACTCCGGGAGAGATCTCATCTGGAAAGTGAACATCGACGGCGAAGCTTCCGTGCTCTCCAGATCGAAAGCGTTCGAATCAGTTGACCGTGTGGTTGACTGTAACAATTGCGGCTTAAACGGCATCGTTTACAACTCCAAAGGGTATCTCCTCGTGGTCCAATCAAACACCGGGAAGCTCTTCAAAGTCGACGTGGACACCGGCAGGGCGAAGGCCGTTCTTCTGAACCAGGTCCTGACGGCGGCCGGCGGGATCGCCTCCAGACGCGACGGCGTGGTGGTGGTCGTGAGCCGCCAGAAGATGTATTTCCTGAAGAGCCACGACAGCTGGATGGAGGGAGCGGTATATGACGAAACTGCCCTCGTAGAAGAGCGATTCGCTTCCGCAGTGACGGTGGGGGAGGAAGGCAGGGTATATGTGTTATACGGTCATATCCATGAGGGCATGACGGTAAATGCAGAGAGGGGTGAGTTCGGGATAACGGAGATAGAGTCGGCGAAGGAAACCAGTGAAGATAACGTTTGGATTTTTGTGCTTATTGGTTTGGGTTTGGTTTACTTTATGTTCTGGAGATTTCAAATGCGGCATCTAGTTGATAGCATGAACAAGAAAAGAGCTTAATTAATTGAAAATTTAATTAATTTTTTCTTTCTTCATATTGTAATGTGTACTGCTGTATTAGAGTAATTAGACTAGCTAAGCTTTTTTTTTCTTTCTTCATTTTGTAATAGAGTGATTTTTTCCCCAGAGAAAGGGTAGCTAAGCCATTTTTGTTCTTTGGACTATTGTCAATCATTGATAATCTCAATCATTATTTTGTTCTTTCATAATTAAATCTATAGATTCAATCAATTCATCCAATTTCATGTTACCAAACATGCCCTATTGTTACTCTATAGATCCCTCATATGCTAATGTAGCTATATTCCAGACCCTAGTTAACCAATATCGTGGTTAAATATTGCTCGGTTAACCATTATTGTGGTATGGTTAATGATATTATACATACATAAACCGGAATCTCGGTTAATCGCAAATCGGTTAACCAAACTACGGTTAATCAACCATGCCCACCCCTATGTATGAATGTGAGAAGCATAACCAAGCCAAATTTCAGAACAAACCAACATTGACCTGACCATGGTTGATTCCCCAACCTCAGGCCACCTAAGCTATGACTCCACATAGCGAGGTTGTTAATTGTAGTAACTCTGCTAAACACAGAGTCCAAGCCAGTGCCTACTAGTCACAAGCAGTCTCAAGCCAGTCACTTATTCTCACATTGTTCCAAAATTTCACCCATGTGACTACGTGAATTGCCTACGGGCAAGTAGGAATTATTCCATAAAATGAGGGAGGGCGGAGGGAGATCAATTTGCTCGAGAGTTAGTTGAGAACAGAGAAAGGGGGAGGGGTTGACTACACGGGATGGTAGGGGAGATTAGGTACAAGGGAACATGATGAAAGGAGATACACGAGAAGGGAAAGGAGATACACGAGAAGGGAAAGGAGAGGATGTTTCGGGAGTTTCCGAATTTGGGATAGTGAGTAGGACAAAGAAAAGATAAACGGTGTTTTTTTCATCAAAACAGGTCTCTATTCATATCAAAAGATTCAGGATCATTACATCAAGTAAAGGGAAAATAAAACTGACACCAACTGAAACTCCAACAACTACGACTGTAACCCTATGATGAGACTTTGAGACGGTCACCCCTAAGAGAGCAACACGAATCGCTAACCATGTAGTGAGCTTGTCACAACCAAACTTGTTCCCATAGATCCAACCATACCCAATGACATAAAGAGAGACAAAAAACTCAAACAAACTGTCAAAACCAACAACAAAAATGGACACAAGAAAACAAATAACAAACATATAAAAACTACAAGAAAAACTTTCACGAACTCTAGCACCTCGTACATCCCATGGTGGTGGTTCAGGAGGAGGTCGTACCACCGGTACCATGCTAATTGATCATCCATGGCCTTTGGCTGCCAAAGACCATGCATCAATCCTCTGTCCATGCATAACCAAACTCATCCCTGCTCCGTGCGACCAGAGTAAACGGATAGGCGGCGCCGATCTTCTCCAACGACGACAGCAACGCCGCATCCTTGAATCTCGACCATAGCGCCGATCTCCTCGAGCCATGACAGTAAATCCGCAAACCAGCGACCAAGGGATAGTCGAAGCCCTAGAGAGAAAACTCGTCCCACCCAAGCGCCTAATGCAGTAGAACTATCGACGCACAACAATAAAACTCTCAAGCAAGGAGAGAATGAAAACGAAGACTCTGAAAGGAAAACCAGTGCATGCCGGCACCCAATCCACCTGGCGCATGACGACACCACACACCTTTTTTGTGATTATATATATCACAAAAAGATAAACGGTGTTTGATCAGAATAAATAGAAAATACTAATTTGATCAGATTTATTTAGGCAAAAAAGAAATACAAAGCATAATATTGGAAAATAAGAAAGGGTTTTTACAAGAATATTACTAAAATAAAATTTATTTACATAAATATGACTATTCATTACTACAACGTAGTGTTATGGTAACTTAAGTTCAAAACTTGAACATGAATTACTATGATTTCATTACTACTCTGGTAGGTAGTCATAAATTTGTAAACCACCTTTATTTTGATCATATTTATGTAATGATTTTAAAGAAGAATATTTTTAATAGGATTAGTTTCAGTCCAGGCGAGATAAGATTAGATCAAATCAAATTTCGACAATTGTAAAATACCAATATGTATTAGTGTTATACATCTACTAAACCAGAAAAATCGAGTTTAATTAAAAAAAAACTATCTAAAAGCATCTCCAATGCTACAATGTGCACGGTACACATGTGACATGAGAGAGATAGATTTATGACATTTTCTCTCCTTCTTTCCACGATCTTATGTGTTTTTGGTAAATTTTTGTCTGCAATGTCAACTACAATGTCTACATCTAGACATTGTGTAGAAAAACATACCAAAATGATGTAAGATCCTTCAAATAAGGAGAACGATATTCTACTTATTGTTTTTTATTTGGTTATTTTTCATGCCACGTATGCACTGTTAACGTTTTAGCATTGGAGATGCTCTAAACATGTCAACCAGCCTGGGCGTGTGTACACGGCTAAGTTCTCTTTGTAGACATGTAAGTTTCAACATTTAACATTTTTAGACAAATTGTTTGTGTTTACGAGTAAAATAGGAAGTATATATGTGTCCAAACGTGTACAAAAGAAATGTTCCAAAATGGGTAATATTTACTCAAAATTATTCAATATGTGTATAGCTTCACGTGGTAATGTATTGATTTTTTTCAAAAATATTACTAAAATAAAATTCATTTACATAAATATAACTAATACTTACTACAAGGTAGGATGTTTTCTTTTGGACTGTTTTCAGTCCCAGACCAGACCAGACCAGACTTAAACAGATCAGACCAGACCAGACCAGACTTAAACAGACCAGACCAGACCAGACCAGACTTAAACAGACCAGACCAGACCAGACCAGACTTCCGTAGTTATAAAATACACAGAGACCAGACGTTTACCAGACCAGACCAGACCAGTTCAGACCAGACCAGACCAGACCAGACTTAAACAGACCAGACCAGACCAGACCAGACTTAAACAGACCAGACCAGACCAGACCAGCAAATTTCAGTCCAAAAGAAAACATCCGTAGTCTCATTTAAAAATTGAACATGAGTTACTAAAATTTCATTATTACTTTAATTACTTGCTTTTTGTAAACAATCATAATTTTAATTTTAATCATATATACGGATTATGTAGTTATTTCTAATGTATCTTGATTTCTTTAATTTTTTATGAATATCATCCCTAACTTCTGGGTGAAACTGCAGGAAACTCATTAGAATCGATTCCAAAAACCCACTTAATTCGGTTACCAAACACAAATACTTTCAGGAAACTCAGCAGATGTCATTTTGTTAAACCTATTCAAACGGGGTCGTAAATATTTACTTATATTCTTTGTGTGAATTAAAGGATTAACGGAAAAGTAGAAGTGCAGCGTTTTCATTGCAATCCATCTTTATGATGATCAGAGCTCCTCCTTATCGTCCTTTGTCAAGCTACCTTCATCCAAAAACCTCTCCAAGGTTTGTTTTCAATCCTTCTTTGAAATATTATGCCTTACGCTCATGTTTCATACTTTTAACTGCATGAACCCTAATCCTCAATTAGGGAAATTTAAGAATTTGGTTTTCTTGTTGAAAAACACAAAATTGCAGATTGGTTGCAAAAATGTTGGGATTTGGCACAAACAATAATATTGGAAGAGCTGTTGAGTGTATGGCAGTGAAACCACCTGCTCACCCTACATATGATTTGAAGGGGGTTATTCAACTTGCCCTTTCTGAAGATGCTGGGGATAAAGGTATTAAGGTACCATTCCTGTTAGGGGCAGTTTGGATGTAAGTTATGGAGGACTAAGTCTATATCATAAATGTATTTGAGAATTGAAGTAATAGCACAATAGGTGATCATTTAACATTTCAATAACTCTTTTGAGTCTTTTTCACTGCTAGAAACATGCCATTAATCAAGATATACCCTAAGCCTTTGTTAAAGACATGCAAGGAGGATCTCGTGCACATGAGGAACTAAGAAATGGTAGGGAGGATTGGCCCATAGAGCCTTTTGAATCTATTTCCGCTGAAGGAGAGTGGAATGAAAATAAAAAAAAGTTTATCTGAAAGTTGAAATTGATCTAGTGTCCAACCTAGTCGATACACCTGAGAAATAATTCTTCAAAAACTACTGGAGTTTATAATGCAGTCAACGACCCCCCCCCCCCCCCCCCGTTTTCTCTATTACAAGAGTCCTAGATGAAAAGGCAACATAGAGTTGTAATTCTAAAACAACTTAATTAAAGCCATCTAACTAGAATAAGGTAACATGCCGAAAAGTAGAATTAAATAAAATTGCTTTCCAATCAGCCACTTTGATTGTCTTTCTTCTGTGGGCCGCCTTCGCTCGTTCTAGCTCATGGGCCGTCTTCACTCATTCTAGCTCGTGGGTCCTGCTTGCGTTACTGGTATGTCCGGCCCCAAGATGTCCACATAAGCCCTCCCAAAGCTTCCTGTTCAAAATGCTCCATCCAAACTGACCCTTACAGACACACACAAACTATGTTAGTATAATTATGTCTCTGTATGTATTTGATTAATCATCAAGAGTAAAAATGCTCAAATCTTCTAATAACTTTTGGATATTTTTTAACTTATTGATACTTTGATAGATATCATCCATATCAACATCTATATAAATTAAAAAATAATAGGGAAAATAATGAAAGTTCCTCTTTCGGTATCCAGACCTCTCAAGAAGAAAATATAGATCAATATCGGTGATATTTCAATCCTTGGTTATATGAGGCCATACATCTGCATGATGCTTAATTTAATGTTTTGATAAATGTGAATAATTAACTGTTGATGTAAGTTTGAATAATTAGTTGCGAGTCGTAGATATTGTTGGCATGCCCACATTACATTTTTAAAGTGGTAAATACTATATATATTATTTGATAGTAAAACAGCAAATAACTACATGATAAAACTAACCTCTCAAGTAGCGAAGTTTGAGTTTTGGTCATTGAAACCAGACCCATTTTTTAGAATCAAGCCATTGTTATTATATATTTCGATACAATGTGTTATGATGACACACAGGAGATGTGACTTGTAAAGCAACGATTCCGGCTGATGTGGAGGCGGAAGCTCACTTTCTGGCTAAGGAGGATGGGATCATAGCGGGGATTGCGCTTGCTGAAATGGTATTCAGTGAAGTTGACCCTACATTGCAGGTATTGCACATTTGAGGACAGCAAGGGCCCGTTTGGTGTAGCTTACAATGGCTGAATCTGCTAAAATTGTGAATGATTGGCAGAATTTTCATCTAAAATAATTATTTACAGTAAAATATGAAAATGAAGGTTGATTAGCCATTGCGATGTAATTTTAACCATTTTATCCAAATATGTAACTGTTACACTACTTATCATCACATTCAGCTGGCCAAGTGAAATAAGTTTGTGCTTGGTAAAAATTCTGGTAGATAAGTTGAATAATTGCCTAACGAATGGGTACTGAAAATTTCCTTCTAATGGAAGGAGTCAATTGCGATGAATAGAGTGTTTCTAAGCATGTTTCGACAACAGGTGGTGTGGTCTATAAAGGATGGCGATGAAGTGAATAAAGGCCTACAATTTGGCAAAGTGCATGGTAAACTATAAATTGGAACTACACACACACATATATCTTGTAAGAGTCAAATAATTATGATTTTTAGCATTTGATTCTCCTCAAACATATTCAGGAAAGGCGTATAGCATCATTGTTGCGGAAAGGGTTGCACTTAATTTTATGCAGAGAATGAGTGGAATCGCTACACTGACTAAGGTGTGTTTAAATTAATGTAAGTCACATTTCATTAATTTGAGAATGATTTAGTTTTCCCTTTTTATAAATGTTATTTTAAAACTTCATCTAATTCTAAAATTCTAATTAACCACTGTTTGGTGTTATTGAGATACAAATTACAAAACACGGGTGATGGGACACCGAATTCCATATTTTTCGAAAGTCTATCCTTACGTTGAAGCTTTTGTGCAATTTCTTACTTAGTCTTTTACTCTTTTAGGCTCTGTTTGTTTATAGGGAAATATTTTCTTGAAAAGGTTTTCTATGTGAACCTCAAATAAATGGGGCTAGCTTCGTGAACCAAGAATAACCTCATGGGTCATTCACTGATCCACAACAGATTCCTTTGTCTGAGACATACATGTATTCATTGATCATGATTACAAATCAAAAAGTTAAGTCGGATTACCTCTGAACATTTCAACTTATATGGCATTGTAGGGCTTAGTCTATTTCAAGATCAAAACTCTGTAGTGTTTCTAGAAAACAAATAAATGGTGATTGCATTGCTATGCGATCACATATTATGTTAAGCCTTCAGTTTTTATAAAACCTGAAGTAGATATCAAGATAGAGACTCGACCCTTCAAGCCTTAACTTGACCCCTCCAAAACCCTCCATCTATACCTATTTTGGGTGTCTGTTTTTTCTTAATATTCATCATGTAGAAATGATTTACCTTTGATGCTTGTGTTTGTAGGCAATGGCAGATGCTGCACGTCCTGCATCTATCTTGGAGACAAGAAAAACTGCTCCTTGTTTGCGTTTAATCGATAAGTGGGCGGTACAAATGTTGTCTATTACCATTTATGATCTGCTTGTCTATGGTTTCTTTCACGAAATGGTTTTCACATATTTTTGCGCCTCGACTTTTTTGAGGACAGGTATTAATTGGCGGTGGCCAAAATCATAGAATGGGTTTGTTTGATATGGTGATGATAAAAGACAATCATATATCAGCAGCAGGAGGTGTTAATGAAGCTTTAAAATCTGTTGACATGTATCTGGACCAAAATAACCTTCAAATGGGGGTTGAGGTACCCTTCTTTTCACTTTTCTTTATTTCCTTCTTGAAAGAAGTAAGGTTTTATTTGTGTGGCAGGTTGAATGATCATTTATAAGAATAAACTTGCTACATAAAGATCTCAGTTAAAGGTCACCTTTCCTAAATTGGTAGTTACCCACATTTCACTCGTCGGTAAGATGGGACTATCTTCATTCCACAATTGTGGACTTTTAAAACTCCATAGTTTCTCAATTCTCTCATGTGGTTCATATTGCCAAGAAAGGATATAGATTGGAGTAAGCATATTGGTAGAAAAAGACTCGGCAAAAGGTCTGGATTGCCACAGTTACCCTTTAATAGAATAACAGTCACTACCATCACTTAAAGGGTATTTTTGTCAAATTCATTGCACTCCGTGAAGCTTTTCCTGATTTCGCTCTGCACAACTTAATATAAAACGAAATGATCTGTGTTGCCTGTAAACCAAGTTTGTTTTTAAGTTTGTTCTCAGTTGTAGTTCTCTATGTCTCTTCAATTGGTTGGTTATTTGATGATTTGTTATCTAATAACAGATTGAAACAAGAACACTTGAAGAAGTAGACGAGGTGCTACAATATGCATCCAGAACACCAAAGACATCATTGAGTAGATTAATGTTGGACAATATGGTCGTTCCGCTTCCTAATGGAGATGTTGATGTCTCGATGCTCAAGAAGGCTGTTAGTTTGATCAATGGGAGATTTGAGACCGAGGTATTATCTCTACTTTGCCAATTTGAAAGTTTTAACCTCGTTCTGTGCCAAGTACCAAATATGCCCTAGAGTTACCATGTCGCTGGTGATGCCTTATAAATCCAGTTCTGCCAATATATACTTGGCCATTCCTGCTTGTGGTCCAGAATTTCACCTTTTTCCACTTTTGGTACAGGGCTATCGAGTTCTTGTCTCTTTTGGTACCTCTGGTCACTTTATCTGGCAAATCAACAGGAAGTATGATGAGGACCAAAAGATGCAAGAGATCTGTAACCGGCACTATATGTAAACAGAAGGAAAGTCAGTGACCAAAAGTGGAAATCTGAAATTGAAAGTTTGCGGTCGTTCAGTGTCCTTTTAATGAACATTTCTATAAATAATTCTCATCTAAAGTCTGTCAAAAGATGTCATGTTCAGTGCTAATATTTTGACCAAAATCTTAAACATCTACTTGCCTTTTTTGGAGCATTCATTTTAAACTTGAAGTACTCTCCAAATGGTGTTCCTCTTACATTCTCATTCCTGCTATGTTGTGGCAGGCTTCTGGAAATGTTACACTTCAGACAGTGCATTTGATTGGGCAAACTGGTGTCACTTATATATCCAGGTCATTAAGAATATCATCCTCGTTTTCAATGATTATCTAGTACTATGTGCATCCATGACATATCTTTAGATGCTAGTAAAATTAAACCGGCTTTACCATATCGACTACTGGTCTGACCCGACTAGTAAACTAATAGCTTGACCAGTCCAGTCAGCACTCACCATTCTGGTTTTTAATCCCTACTACTTTGGAATTGGCCTCGTAAAGTTTAGTGTTAATTAATTGTCTAAAATTAGTTTAACTGTATAAAGTCGTGCAAAAAGAATTTGCACCGGATGCCCTTCCCTCACAAAGGAATAGGAGATGAAATTCCAGAAGCGGTCAATCAGCCCATGTACTTTCCACTTGCATAGAAAATAGCACAAGCCAGGGATGAGTTGGTATAATTGATATAGTCACAAGTCTTAGTACAAGATTGATAATTTAGACAATTGACATGCTCATCATGGCACACATGATATAATAAAAAAAAGTAGATTCTTTATTCAGGTTTTATATCAGCATGTACTTACGTTCCATGTTTTGCATGTTGGTTTTTTAAATATCAATCTTGTAATAGAGCACGAGTGCATGACTGTAACAACGCATCTGTTGTCTCATGGTTTCTTCCATGCATGTGGAAATAACCTATGGTGATGATTTAAAATTATTTCATTATTCCATCATAAGAAGGTTGCAACATCTGGTGTAAAACTTAGTCACTATGTGACTATGTGTGATTTTTTTGCATGAATTTATAATGTTTACTATATGGGATTGAGGTGAGCTGGTGATGATGAAATTGGCATCAAACTTTCTTCAAGCGTATATGATAAAGTGGGTAGCCCATACTCCATCGAACCCTAAGTGCTTACTATCCTTTACCAGTTAATTTACGGCCACATACCAACCTTTGCGTCAAATATTTGAACATTCATTGCTGTCTAAACTTTACATGTCATGCTTGATTGAAAGAGGCTAAACAGCTGAATGTATTTATGTTACAATCATCATACTCCTTATGGTGGTTATGTCTTTAGCCTTTACTGGGGGTGTGGGACAGTGGCTATGAATTATTTTCTCCTCTCCAATGAAGATTATGTGATGGGAGACCTTTTATGCCATACTATATTGATATGTACTATTTATGACGTACTATTTTTCAGTGGAGCACTGACGCATTCTGTGAAGGCGCTTGACATTTCCCTGAAGATTGATACAGAGCTTGCTCTCAAAGTAGGAAGGCGGACAAAGCGGGCATGATGGTCATCCTTTTCAATGGACTTAATTATTAACCTTTTGAGGTCATCTGCTAGTTCTTAGCCCTAATCCAGACCGTGACATTGAATTGAGATGTTATTTTCCCTATTACTCCGTATTATATACGGGGTTTGAAGCCATATTCTTGCCAGGGAAAAAAATAGGGAACTTGGCTTAAATTTTCTCTTCCCTAGAGTCTCATTGTGGGAACTTTTTGTGGTGATGGTGATGGATTGTAGGAACATAGCATCCATGACTAGATTGCAACTGCCAACATTTTTTGAAATAAGAAGCAACCAACGGGACAGGACTGAGAGATGGATGTAAGGAACTCTAGGGTGGACCCAATCCTGAAACCGGACTCGACTGGGAGGGTAAAGAATTAAACCGGTTCCCCACTTTTAGGAGGTGTTTACTTCACTGCTAAAGTCACAGTTAGGTTAGTAAGACAGGTGAAGTAAACACGCACACTGCTTAAAAAGCCGCTTACTAACCGAAAGAGGTGCTTAAAGTGCCGCTTATTAAGCATACCACCTAGGGATGGCAATTTAACCCGACCCGATGGATACCCGCACCGAACCGAACCGGTCAAAATGGGGAAAACCGTTTTGACTGGGTAACGGGTACGGGGCGGGGAATACCCGATTTATGTAAACGGGTAATGGGGCGGTTATGGGTTTATACCTACCCGCCCCGTTACCCGCCCCGTTACCCGCCCCGTTTAATTTGGATACGGTTACCCGCACCATTACCCGACCCGCACAATTAACTTATATATTTTAATAGTTTATGTATTTATTATTTAATATATTAAGTATATATGAATATTAATACATTAGTATATGACACTTATTCTCTCTAGTACTTTGAAACAATATTCAACTTATCGGCTATCCTTTGCAATTCTGATGATCGAGTTGGTGCTCAAAGTTCACTATTTTAGATTTTAAATTTTCAATATCATTCATCATCCTTCCTTTGTTAACTTCTATAATATTCCTTCAAAAAAACCTCTACAATATTTATTTTCTTCACATATTGGTTATTTGATTTTCGTGACTTTCTTTACGCAATTTCCACATTGTGACTCTCTTAGTTTTTCACCCAGTAACTTTCATAAAACTCACGTATGAGTTTAAAGTCAAAATATTGCGAAACATTACTCTAGCTTGCTTTAATTTATGTAATTGCTAATAATTTTGTAAAGGTGTATTGGATGATTAGATTAATTTTGATTGGTTGCTCTAATTTATATCAAGTTTTAAAATTTAAATTATGTTTTTTTTTCTAAAACAGTAACTACAAGAATACCTAAATCAAAGTATTAGAAGTGCCTTTTAAATAATTCCAAATCTTTAATCAAAATAAAAGTTGTGGACAAAAATGCGACTCTAGTAACTTTAGTGTTTATAATTTTATTCAAATGTTATGTCGTAGTGAATACAAAACTTACTCATGGTAACTTATAGTCATATTTATGTTCATATCTTTTTTATTAGAGGTATTTTAGGGGAAAAACTTCCCATTTTCATTATGTTACTTGTATACATTATTGTTCTTAAATTAATTTAGATGTTGAATGTTGGTGGGGGTATGCTTATTGAATGTTTGGAAGTTAAATGTTTTTTTGATTCATATTTAGTTTTTACTATCGAGACAAGACTTACTCTTTTGATGTTGATGTGGTAAGAGATTCAATTTGAATCTAGACATATATAATTTGTGAATATTAGATTCAAACGATTGTAACTTTTTGTCATGTTTTAAAAAACTTTATATGTGGTACTATTTAATTTTAATTTTTTTTAATTTAGGTGGTCAGTGATAAGTAGTTAATAATCATTTTAGGATCTATGAAGGAAAAAAATTATTTTTTAATAAAACGGTTACCCGCGGGGAAACCGTTACCCGCGGGTAAAAAATACCCGACGGGTAACGGGGCGGTTTCGGGGAATTTTTTTATCAAACGGGGCGGGTACGGGTAATGGTATACCCGACCCCGAACCGCCCCGTTGCCATCCCTAAATTACCACCCCCCCATGTATTAATTAAGCGGCACTTTAAGCTTTTTCAGTTTCCGAATTTACCCCTTGCCCTTAACCTATTGTTATCCCTGCCCCACCTCGACCCCAACCCCACCTACCCCGACCCCACCCTACCCTTACCCTACCTACCCTGACCCCACCCTACCCACGACCCCACCCCACCCTACCCTTACCCCACCCCTACCCTACCTAACCGACCCCCCACCCTACCCTTACCTACCCCGACCCTACCCCTACCTACCCGACCCCCCCCTACCCCGACCCCACCCTACCCCTACCTTACCTGTCCGACCCCACCCTACACGTACCCCACCTTACCCCTACCCTACCCCATTACCAGACACCCCCCTACCCTACCCTTACCCCACCCTACCCTTACCCCGACCCCACCCCTACCCTTACCCCCCCCTACCCGATCCCACCTTACCCCTACCCCTACCCTGACCCAACCCACCCCTACCCGACCCCACCCTACCACTACCCTACGTACCCAATCCCACCCCTACCCTACTTACCCGACCACACACCTACCCTTACCCTACCTACCCCACCCCTTACCCACATACCCGACCCCACCCTACCCTATCCGACCCTACCCCGCCTCAACCCCCACCCTACCTACCCGAACCCACCCTACCACTACCCGACTCCTACCCAACCTACCCGACCCACCCTACCACTACCTGACCTCAATCACCCCACCCTATACCCCTTACCCCACCCCTTACCCCACTATACCTAGGGTGGTGGGGTCAGGGTGGGGACGATGTGATAGAGGCGCTAGGGGCAGGGTAGGTGTGGTGGGGTAGGGGTAGGGGGGTGGGTTGGGTAGGGGTAGGGGCGGGGTTGGGGTAAGGTAGGGTAAGGTGGGGTCGGGGTGGGGCCGATGTGGTAAGGGCCTATGGGGGTAGGGGCCTATGGGGTCGGGGGTAGGGTTGCGGTAGGGTGGGGACATGTTAGGGTGGGGTCGGGTAGGGGTAGGGTCGGGTAGGTAGGGTGGGGTCAGGTAGGTAGGGTAGGGGTAGGGGGTAGGGGTAGGCCACTACAAAAAAACATGCGTTTAGCGTCGGTTGTTTTTGTATTTAACGTCGGTTAAAACCTTCGTTAGTTGATCCAGCGACGGTCTTTGAGACCCTCGGCAACTGCTCCGTGGGGAAGAATCCTACGTCAGTTTTCAAGACCGTCGGAACAACCGACGCTATTTGCTACAGTATTTCCCGTCGGTTTTGGGCGATACTAGAAGTTCAAAGTAAGTTAATAATGTTAGAAACTGTGTCAGTCATAACCGTTGCTAAAACCTATCGGGTTTGTTATTATAGCATTTAGCGTCATTTATAACCGACGTTAAATACAAATATTTTTCAAAAAAAAAATAATAATCCAGATTCATGATCTAAAAATATAGAAATAATACATAATACAAATACTAAAATGACATGCAATAAAGTTCATGTTCAGAACTCAATCCAAATGGATACCAATAGTCATACTACACAATGATGCCTCCCACAAGTTCAACAATAAAACTGATCAAAATATAAAAATTCAATGATCTAGAATTCATTAAAGATCCATACTGATATGAAATACAAATGATATATAGAAACATTTGGTGACTTGCTCCTTAAGATCTTTGGTGTGCTATTGCTTGCGATAGACATCTTTGGTATGCTATTGTTTGCGGTATGGTTGTCAACTTTGGTGTGTTATTGCTTGCGATAGACACTCAATGAACTTGTTTTCTGGAAAATTAAGTATTGCAATTTTAAGTATGTTATCTTCTAGTCTACAGCTTTCAAAACAGAGTATAAGCTCTATAAAATTTCATCATCAAATAGATAGTATCCACACATAATGAGAAGGGGATGCTCTCTGATTTAATTGTGACTATATAAGCTTTATAAGCTTATCTTGTGACAAAACACTGCATTATCATCCAAAAGAAATATGAAAAAAGACACTTCATTCTCAACAAAAGATTACTTAAACAGAAAGTACGTCTTCAACATTTTAGTACTATGAAGTCTTTATCATACTGCTGGTCACTCATTTTCACAAGTAAACTTCTGTTCTCCACAAAACTCTTTCAAGTTGATTTGCACTCTACTTAAGAAACAACTTTTGACTAGGTACATTTTTGGAAACAGTTGGCATCCCATCACGTGAAAAAATTGTACGTAGTATTATATAACAGATTGAGTCAAAATAAAATCAGTCATATAAAATCAAACTTAGTTTTGCTTTACCTAGCTTCTACAAAAAAAAGAACATATATTTGGGTGTGGATCAAATTCTGCATCAAAAGTGGCGAGCAACTAACCCAAATGTTGTTATATGCATGCATTTGAATACACTATCAATTCGAGATTGTTTGCATTCCCGTTCAGCTTGCTCCTTCTCAAGCTTCTTGATCATGAGGACAACACGATCTTTGAATGAATTCTCTAGTATCTTTCTGCAACTAAATGTGAAGATTGGGTCATTATTTACATTTGTACAAATAAGAACACTAAAAGAGTTTTAAATTTGATTGTAGAATAAACTAACTCACCTTGACTTCCTGCAATTTGATTAAAAAATATCAAATGGTGATGGTCTTGAATGACCTACTCCTTGGCTGATTCTAGTTTGATCAAAGAGAGGAGATTTGTGAACTAAAAATTTAAAAGGAAAACACTTATAATTTACTTGTGTGGTCGGAGCATATTCATAGTGACATATACACACTTGTTTATGTGGAAAACTGAATACAAAGGAATTAGATATTAGAATATACTTGTAGTAGATGAAAAGGTAGACAAACATTGTGTCCATGTGCATATCACCTACATTTTCTCTATTATAACAACTAAAACAATAATTTTTTATCTCAAGAAGTAGTTAACATATATTAACTATAAACGAAGTATATAAAGAGTAAAGACTTCCGGAAATTAAATGTAGAAGGTACCATTATTAAATAGCCTTGCCCTGAACATTTGTTCAAGCTCAACCCCTATTTCCATACCTATCCAATAGGTATTCCGCAAGATTTAACTGACAAAATTGAATTTTTATAAAACCAGGGAACAGCCCTAGGTCTTTGGCAACTGGTTGTTTAAAGTCATGCTGAAATTCTAAATATTGAGACTCTACTTCGAGATTCAAGCAATAGAAAAACAAAAGTAGAGGCAAAAGAAAAACTACAACACCTAAGACATAAGATTTCATTCAATTTCAAAAAATAATGAGAAAACATCCCATACAAAAGGGGAAAATTAAAGGTGTAATCATAAAAATACTTAAATAAGACATGAAAAGAGAGACTTGAAATAATTTATACCTAAAATAAGGAGTGTTTGTTGGACCGAAAGGAAAATATAACGTCGGGATGCCCAAAAACGTCAGGGTCACTGAGCATCTGGTCGCCGAAGACGATGTTCGTTGCTTCGCGGGGATGAAGCTATGTCGTTGTCGCCCCATCAGTTGCTTAATAGAAGAAGGGGTGCGACGTAGATTGTAAAAGTCTGCCAAGAAGAAGAGAGTGAAGTAGATCTGTTGAGTAGAAGGGTAATCCTCACCAGGAGGAGAGAGCGATGAAGTCTGGTGTCGGCGATGGAAAAGATAAGAAATACGTAGGGTTATGTTTATTGTTTTTTAATTCTGAAGTGTGCGCTTAAGTTTCATTTTTTTATTTAGCATCTTACGTCTCTTATAACCGTTGGTAAAACCATAAATAACCGTCGTTAGGCTCTTCCAATGCAAAACGCAAAAGTGGTTGCCGATGCTTTTGTAAATCGATGTTAGGAGAGTTTTTAATGTCGGTTTGTAAAAACGGACGCTAGAAAACCGACACAAGAGACCTGTTTTTTTGTAGTGGGCGG